GAGGATCGTCGAGGCCAGCTTTTCCTGGCGCAGAACCTCGTCCTTCTGGGCCTGCGTGGCGGATTTTTCCGCCAGGGTGGCCTCGACGTCCAGGAGCTCCTGCTCGTAGCGGGCCTGGTCCTCCAGCATCTGCGCCTGGATCATCTCCTCCTCGTAGAAGTGGATCTGGGCGACCTCTTCGGCCGAGAGATTGGCTTCCATCGTTGCATCGATCTGYTCGGCGCCGATGAGAATCAGTGTCTCCTCTTTGCCGTTGGGATCGTTTCCGGCGTCGCCGCTGGGGGCCTCCTCGAGCTCAGGGGCCACACCGGAGGACGGGGGGGATTCCTCGGCCTGCGGAGCGTCTTTGTGGTAGGGATTCAGTTTTCGGGGGTTGTCGTTGTTGTTGYTGTTGTTGCTACCGCTTCGCAAGCGGGCCTCGGTGGTCGGCGCAGCGGCTAGGAGTGCCGCAAAGAGACAAGCGGTGAYGTAGCGAGTCATGATTGTTTCGKAGCAATCGATGGGTTTGTTGTGGTTTGGTTCGGTGTGGTGTTGTTTTCGTTCTGGTTGGTGGTCCAATGGGTAGCAATTCGATTCGACTGCGACTTGTTGGTCGATGATCGATTTATTGATTGTCTTCCTTCCTATGGATTGTGTCGCTGCGATGCGAACAAGGTTCTTTCTTGGAAATATCAAGTAGGGTACTGTACTCTACTGTTTGTACACAAAGTRACTTGTTGGGTGCGTTCCAAGATGTTCCAGTTTCAATGGTGGACTTAATCTTAAGTTGACGCCTAATCGTTGATTGAAGGATGAAAGCGACCATACTATTGCCCTATTTTTATCCGATCCTACCATATATCAATAAGCCTTTTCAAAAACGGTACCSATTTTGTGACCGCACACTATCAAAAAAGTTCCGTTTCTTGAAGAGAGGTCACAATTATGCAGTGTTTGATCATAATAACATTATTATTATGACATTTCAGTACAGTAGTTTTTCCAACTGCACTACTGAATGGAATGCGGATTGATAAAGTACGTACTACTAATCGTACTGCGCGCTGTCCTACTCGAACCGTAATAAGAAAATGGAGCAGCTGTTGAATACTAGAGTACTAGTACGAAGTACGGTAGATTACGAGAACTCCGATTGCTAAAGTATGGTACGAAGTACAGGTACAGTAGTTAATAATGGTACAATGCTACCAGTATTACACCAATGAGTAGTGCAACCTTTTCATCTTCCTTTTTGGTATTTCTTCGATGGTATTATCACWTTTCTTGTCTCATGAGTAGTACTACTTTACTCGGAGCGTACAAATAAATACAAGAACTCTAGTGGTAAATGTCTGGTGATATGATCAACTCTCTATTTTCGGCAGGTMGCATGTTGGACCACTATTGAGACTCGTTCTCGTACTCGATGAAAGATCRCGATGTACAGAATCACCAWCAAACAATAGTACTWATAGTGGTGTTACTCYCCATACTAGTATGGTGCCCTTGCCATTCTTATTGTACCATTCGTACTAMCAATTGAAGAACAATAGATAGCACTACTTCTTCTCGTGTGGCTTGGCATGTGCCACAATCAGTGGTACAATTAAAGAATTAGTAACAGAAAGAACAACAAGCCACAAGGGTGGAAAGATGGGGTCTTTTTTGGCATCCCCTTCCAAAAGCCGCAATGGACCCGTGCAACCTGTCCCTGCTGCTACTACCCTGGGATTTTTGGCCCGTCGTTGGCAGGCACRGAACCAAAACAAAAAACGATCGAGACGACTCTGTCGCTGTTGCTGTTGCTCCTGCGGTTGCTGCTTCGAGCACCCCGCTTGTTCTCTGTAGTCCCTCCCCTCTTGGAGTTCGCGGCGATGACGGTATTTGCCACTCGTTCGGTTTTGCGTTGCGCTGCGTTGGGTTGGGTGGCGTCGTGGCCTTGCGAACGAAGCACACACCGGGTGTGTTTCTGTATCTGTTTGTGTTTGTGGTAGTGTTTGGTCGTCCGCTACACGCGGTTCCCGCTCTGGACGTGGTCCTTGAGCTCGTGGAAGCGCGCCTTGAGCCTGGTGTAGATTTCCATCGTCGACCGGACGCTGTCCCCGTAGGGGGTGGTTTCTGTCTCGGAAAATGCGGCCATCCGCTCCACCTCCTCCCGCGGCAGCTTGGTGTCGTGGTTTCGGTTTTGGTTGTCGTTGTCGTTGTCGTCTGGACGTGGTCCTTGAGCTCGTGGAAGCGCGCCTTGAGCCTGGTGTAGATTTCCATCGTCGACCGGACGCTGTCCCCGTAGGGGGTGGTTTCTGTCTCGGAAAATGCGGCCATCCGCTCCACCTCCTCCCGCKGCAGCTTGGTGTCGTGGTTTCGGTTTTGGTTGTCGTTGTCGTTGTCGTTGTCGTTGTGGATGTTCGCCGTGGTGTTGGTGGCGTTGTGGTTCTGGTGGTTGGCACCGTGGTGCAGGTGGTAGTTCTTGAGRACGTCGTACTCGTCGTAGAGGTCGAGGGACCGGTGGTAGAGCTGCTCGTACTCCTTCTGGGGCCAGTAGACGTACTTCCACTCGTCCGTGACGAGGGCAAAGGCCGCGTCGATAAAGTTTTCCTGCTCGTGCCCCGAGGCGTTGGAGGGGTGCCCCATGTTCCACTCGTAGAACCAATCGGTCCTCCAGGGGGCATCGGCGCCGGATGCGGTGGTAATGGTGGTGGCCGCTGCTTGCGCTGCTGGCCCGTTCTCCCCCTTGTCGAGGTAGAGGTCCGCGAGGTCCCGGCCCTGCATAAAGGGCGAGGGCTCCAGCCCCGCGGCCCCGAGGAGCGTCGGGGCCAGGTCGACGTTGAGGGTCCACTCGTTCCGGGAGGTCCCCCTCTCGGAAAGCGGCATCCGGGGGTCCACCACCACCAGGGGGACCCGGAGGGACTCCTCGAAGGGGTACCACTTCTCGGCGAGACCGTGCTCCCCGTGCAGGTCGCCGTTGTCGGTGGTAAAGACCAGCAGGGTGTTCTCGTAGACGCCCTGCTGTCTCAGCTCCTCCAGGATCTCCCCGATGGCCCAGTCCACCTCCGTGGCCATGGCGTAGAGGTCCCGGATGTTCTTCTGCCACAGGTGGGGCTCGAAGCGGTTCTTCCAGCGGAGGCGGCCCGCGTTCCAGTCCTGGAAAAAGTAGGGGAGGTCCCTCCAGTGGCGGTCGGTCGCGGTTTTCGGGGGCCGGATCTCGGTGTAGTTGGCGTGGCCCGGGTCGTCGGGGTAGAGGGAGAACCGCGGGGCAAAGCGGCCGGGTCCCGTCTCGTTCATGGGCTGGTAGGAGGGCTCCGGGTGGGCCCCGTCCACCGCGTGGGTGGCAAAGAAGGAGACCTTGAGGCAAAAGGGCTTGTCGGTGGGCCTCTTGCGGAGGAAGTCGATCGAGTGCCTCCGGTTKAGKTCGGTAACGTGCTYCGGGTGCTTGTTGTCCCKGGGGGAGAACCAGTCGAGCCAGTGGTCCCCGTAGTAGAGCCGGGAGTGGTCGTCAAAGGCCGCGTCCATGGCCTCTTTGACCTGCGGGGCGTGCCACTTGCCGACCAGGCCGGTGTAGTAGCCGGCCTCCCTGCGGAGGCGGGGAAAGAGCGTCTGGTTCCAGTCGTGGGTGTAGTAGAGGTTTTTGGAGCTCGGCGTCGAGGTCCGGTGCCGGGAGTAGTAGGTCCCCGTCATCAGGGTGGCCCGGCTGATCCAGCAGACGCTCGTGGTGACGCAGTTGTTGAGAAAGAGGACCCCGTTGTCGGCCATGGCGTCGATGTGGGGGGTCTTGACGTTCGGATCGAGCTTTCCGAGGACCTTCATGGTCCAGTCGTCGGCATAGAAGAGGACGATGTTGAGCGGGTTGGATTTGGGGTCCTTGTTCTGGTCGTTTTGGTTGTTTTGGCTCTCGTTGTTGTTGTTGTTGTTGTTGTTGTTGTTGTCGTTTCCAGCGGAATCCCCCGTGAGGTCCCGGTCGTGTCGGTTGCGGTTGCGACTGTATCTTCCGAATCTTCTCCTCCCCGCGGCCRAGGTGGAATTAGCGTTGGCATTGGAACCGGAACTCGCAAAGGAAGAGAGCCCGTGCTTCGGCCGGAACCGCTGGTTTCGGTTCCGCCACCGCTGGCCCCGCCGGGCCCCGGGCCTTCCCGTTTGCCCCTCCTTCCCGGGGTCGCCCCTGCCATCCGCACCCGCACCCGCAACCGATTCCGGATCCCCCCGAGCAATCCCGTCGTAGAGGGCCGAGAGGCGCTTGTGGCCGGAGAGCCAGCCCGCCGAGGCAAAGCCGGCGATGGCCAGCAGGAGGAACCGCTCGATCCAGTACCGGAAGCTCTTTCGTTTTCGTTTTTGTTTTTGCTTCTGTGTTTGTGTTTGTGTTTGTGCTTGTGTTTGCGTTTGCGTTTGCGTTTTGCGGCCGGGAGCGGCGGGGCCCGGTGCGGAGCCCGCTGCGGCGGAAGAACCCGGCCCGGAACGCTGCTGCTTGCTGGGGCTGCCCTTCCCGTYTTCGTCGTTACCGTTGCCGATKTCGTGGTTGTCGTTGTGGTGGACGACGTCCTTGTCCGGGGAGAGGGAACCCAAAACCATTGCCTAGATATCTCCTTGGTGCTCTCTCTTTAGTGTGTTATGGGTAGGTGCACGAAATATTTGCTTGTGTTTGTGCTTCTGCTTCTGCGCCTGCTTGTCCCTGTGACTATGCTTTGGTTATGTGCCTTTGCTTGTGCCCGTGCCTACCGGCATGTTTCGCTTTGATTTCCGATTCCAAATCCGTCCCATATGTGTTTCCGCCGAGAGGCTTTGGGAAGGATAGTACGTAACGTACGCGCGCCTAAGGGTAGGAGGAGTACGAGTTCTACGGTATCGTCCACGATCCCCACTCGGGAGCCATATGAGTAACATACCTGCTAACGTAACGGTGGGTCCGGAAGCGGCGCGGATTGCATTGTACGACTGGACGGACATCACAATGAGTCCCGGATAACACAACGTAGCGTGGTACCGTAATGTACGTAMGGACCTTCCGGATGTAGAGTACAGTACACGGTGGAATGTTGTCCCGCAAGCGATTTCTGCCCGGACTTTTGGAATAAGGTAGGTACGTACCGGTAGTAGTACGGACCACACCGTACATTCTACCGTACAAGAGATACATCGAAGCGATGGGGAATTCCCTTTTCGTCTACGGCATCGGATCTCGGATCCCACGGTTGTTGTTTCATTTTTCTTGCGATCGCCCACCAGAAACGTCTGAGAGAGACATCGACAAACGAAGCAATCGGACACCGATTTGTTTCCGGGGCCTCTTTTAGCGGACTCGCAACGCATGCTAGCCGAGCGAAACGAAAAAAGGCAGTGCAATACATCACAAAACGCATTTCAATGCAATTCAATTCAAGAAAAAAATTTGCTTCATCTATCGTCTACTGTATTTATAAGCATTTACGAGTGTGTGGGTGTGCAGTGTTGTATGTTTTCATGTGCATGCTTGCGGTCGGCGGTGTGGCTTTTGCGGTTTGGCTCTGTTCTGCTTTCCCATCCTTTCCTTTCCTGGTGAACCGCTCGTTCCCATCAGTGCTCCTCCTGGAACCTCGAGAGCTTCTCGAGGGTGGCGTTCTGCAGSAGGAGGGCCTGGTTCTCCCCCTCGAGCTGGGCGACCTTCTTGCGGGTCAGGTAGGCCTCGTCCTTGTGGGCCGTCGACAGGCGGACCAGCTCGCTGCGGAGCCTGGCGACGGTCTCCTCCAGGTCCTCCTCCGACCCGTCGRACGACCGGGAGTCCCCGCCGGCCTCGGGGGAGGGATCGGACGCCTCGCCGCCRCCGCCGCGGCGAAAGATGGACCACCGCTTTCCGCCGGTGTCGCCGTTTGGATTGCCGCTGCCGTTGTTGCCTCCGTTGCCGCCGCCGTTGTTGTTGTTGCGCTCGATGGCGGCMAGGAGCATCATGCCCTGGGGGTTGCACTCCTCCTCGGTAACGCCGGAAACCGKCGGTTTGTGCTGCCCGCCCTTGTTGGAGGCCTTGCCGGCGGCCTTTTTGGCGGCCGCCAGGTTCCGCTCGGCTTCCTCGGCCCGRKTCTTCCACTCGTAGGCCTTGGAGGTCCACTCGACCAGCCGGAGCTCCAGCTCGTCCCGCTCGGCGGTGGTGTCTTCCAGCTCTTCGTTRCRKCTGGTGAGCTCCTCGTTGGCGAGGGTCAGCTCGGCGCATTTCTGGGTGGCGAGCTCGAGGCTCTCCCGGACCATCGTGGCGTCCGCGCGGGCCTCGTAGACCTTTTGCTTGGCGGCCTCGATGGAGTGCACGTCGTCCGTGGTGATGGTGGCGCTACCGGCCGCGGAAGCGGACGCCTGGGGAGCCCCRGAATTCGAGGACCGCGAGAGGTCGTCGACGACGCCGCTTTCGCCTTGGCCCAGCGGATGCRAATGGGGATGCAGGTGCGAATGCATRTGCGAATGCGGGTGTGGGTGCAGATGCGGGTCCGAGACGTCCTCGTACCGCCGGAGCTTGTTCCGCAGGCCCTCGATCGTCTCGTCCCTGGACTGGAGCTTGGACGAAAAGTCGGCGCGTTCCGTCGACAGCTTGTACTGGAGGTTCTCGACCTGCTCGTCGAGCTCCTCCAGCTGCATTTTTGCCACGTTGTTGGAATCCCACAGCTCTTGCTCCATGGCCGATATCTTRTCGTTGGCGGCGGTCAACGCGGCGGCGATGAGGGCGTTGTCGTCGTTGTTGCCKCCGTTGCCGTCGCCRCTGTTTTGGTTCTTGTGTTTGSGGTTTCCGCTGGTCTCGCTGTCGGCTTCCAATTGTTCTTGTTCTCGTTCTCGTTCCCTCGCCTGYTCCAGCTGTTCCTGGAGTTCYTCCATGAGCATCTTGTTCTCGTGGTGGGCGTCCTCCAGCTGCTCCTTCCGGGACTCCGAGACGGAWACCGATTGTTCCAGGGCCTCCTGCAGGTGGGCCACCTGCTCCCGGAACTCGCTCAGGCGGAGGTTGCTCTCGTCCTCTTCCTCCCGGAACCGGCGCATGGCCTSCTTCTGCTCCTCCAGGAACCGCTGCTCGCGGTCCGAGTGCTGTTCCTGGAAGCGTCGGCCGGCCTCCACCAGCTGCTCCTGGAACCTCCGTTCTTGCTCCCAGAGGCGGGCCTCGAAGCGTCGCTCGGCCTCCGCGAGCTGCTGTTTCTTCTCGAATTCCATSYGCTGCTCCTGTTCTTGCTGCTCGAGCAGGAGTTCCCGCTGSCGGTCTCGCGACCGGGTCTCGGAAGGGTCTGCCTCGGGGAGAGAGCCTCGGCCCGCGCTGCAGTCCTCGTAGCCGTAGTAGTCTCGGTCGTCGTCCCCCGTGCCGTAGCCATTGTCATTGGCGTAGCCATGGCCAYTGCCATCKTCGCTCGCGCTTTCCCCGTCGCAAGGGCCTTCCCCAAAGCCGTCCCCGGTCGGGCTCTTGTGGCTGCTGTCGCGGTTCCACAGGGCCTCAAAGGCGGAGTTGTCCTCCGGCAGATAGGAGCCTTCGATTTCGTGYTGCTCTTCCTCGYGCTCGCGCTGCTGGCGCTCGAGCTCCCGCTCTTTTTCTTCTTCCTCCACCAGCGCGTGGTTGAGCGCGCTGAGSAGGTGCCCGTTCCGGGTCCGGATCCTCGTCCCCAGGCTGTTCCGACGCCTCGCGGTGCTGGTTTCGGTTTCGGGCCCGGTGCCATTGCCGCTGCTTCTGCTGCTCGTGCCCGTCCCCGTGCTGGCTGTTCCGTCGCGGGAGGGCGTTCCGGAAGGGTGCGGGGAGAGCGACGGGAGCACCGGCGGCGGTGCAAGGGGGCCGCTGGGGTGGCCGTTCCTAGCTGCCGACGACGACGACAGCGTCGGCAGGGCCCTCCCGATGGAGGCCGAGAGGGTGTCCGCCGGGGCCGAGGACCGCCGGGAGGCCCTGTGTCCAGCCGACAGGGGAGGCCCGAATCGCGCGCTCCTCGGCCGGTCGGTCGTCACCACKGTGGGGACGGAGACGGAGGATTTTTTCGACGACGCCGCCGACAACGGGCACCGCGGGATCGGCGGGGGGGTTCTCTGGTAGGACGGAGGAAGTGGATGCGGATGCGATTGCGATTGCGATTGCGGATCCCTGGAGGCCCTCCGCGACGAGGCCCGGCTCCCCGGCGGTGGCCTGGGCGTACCCGAAGAACTCACGGTGGTGCTGGTTTTGTTGGTGGTGATGCTTGCGCTCGCGCTCGCGCTCGCCCCCGTGTTGTGGGTGTAGGAGGACCGGCTCGGCTCCGGGGACGGCGGTCGTTCCTCCGGCGTGGGCGTCGCCGGGGGCCTGCCCGGCTTGTGCTTGTGGTTGTTGTTCTTGTGCCGGGCCTTGTAGTCGTCGACGAGGGATTGCAGCGTCGCCATGGCGGAGGACCGCTTCTTGCCGTTGCCACTGCCACTGCCGCTGCCACTGCCGTTGCCCCCCATCGGCCTTTTGCTCGACAGGATCACCACGCTCTTGCTCCTCTTCTTTTTCTTGGTGTGGTTTGCGTTTGCGTTTGCGTCCTCGGCCGTCCCGTCGTAGGAAGCCGGTGGATCGTTGTCCCGGTCCCTTTCCTTTTCGCGGAGGGCCTTTTTGCTGCTCTTGGAGCTGCTCCGCCGCGGCGGGCGGGCGCTGCTGCTCCTCCGCGTCGCTTTCTTGGTGGTGCTGGCCTGCTCCGCGTCGAGGTGCCTATCGCTGCGCCTGTCTCTGTCTCTGGCTCTGTCCCTGTCTCTCTCCTTGAGCCTCTCGACGGTGGCATCGATCGTTCTGGTCCGGCTCTTGCTCCTCGCCGCTTTTCGAACCGATCGCTGTTTCTCCGGCTTGGCTTTTGCTTTCGGCTTTTGCTTTTCCTTCCCGCGGCGCCCGTCCTCGCCGCGCAGGAAATCCCCCTCCGGCTCGATCTCGCTGGGTTCGTCGTTACTATTGTTGTTGTTGTTGTTGTTGTTGTAATCGCTGCGGCCGTAGTCGTATTGGTATTCTTGTTCGTGTTCGTATTGGTTTTGTTGTTGTTGTTGTTGTTGTTGTTGTTGTTCGTATTCGTATTCGTATTGGTGTTGTTGTTCGTATTGTTGTTCGTATTGGTCACGGTCCTTGCTTTTCCTCTCCCTCCCGCGCTTGACGCTCTGGCTGCGGGACCTCCCCTTYTCCTCCTTCCGGTTGTCTTCCTCGAGCCGGTGCCGGCTCACCCGTGGGCTCTTGGTTCTCGATCGCCGCACGGTCCGCTGCCGCTGGATCTCCCGCTGGCTTTCCCTCTGGAGTTCCCGCTGGCTCTCCCGCTGGCTCTCCCGCTGGCGTCCCCGCTCCCGGTCGTCCTCCCGGCTGGGCTGGGACCGCGAGGCGGGTTCCGTTGATCGGGTTTCGGACGTCGTTTCGGTGGACACCGACGAGTCGATTTCCCCCGAGTTTCCGGCCTTGCCGCTGCTCTTTTTCTTGTTGCTGTTGTTGTTGCTGCCGTTTCCGCTCGTCGCCTCCGCCCTGGCCGACAGCCGCTTCCGGGAACGGGACCGCGCCCTCGACTTGGACCGCTTCCTCTCGCTCTTCTGCTTTCCCAGCTTTCCGGCGCGGCTCTTCTTGCTGGACTTGCTGGCGCTGCGTTTCTTCTTGGGTTTTTGGAGGTCGTGGTACATGCCGCTGATGTCGTCGTTGTCGATGTCGCTGATCCCGTCGCTGTAGTCGTGGCTCTTGCTCCGGTAGATGCCGCTTCCGCTGCTTTCGTAGTAGTGGTTGTGGTCCTTCGTGTTCGTGTTGGGGTTCGCCGAGCTTTCGTCCTTGGACCTCGAACGGACGAGGTCGCGAATGTCGTAATCCATCGCAACAAATTCGAACTCGAACTGGATTTGGAACTGGAAATGGAAAAAGGCAGCAGTTCTGCGCCGTGCTATCGAGTGCTATTCGAATCCGAAAGGGTT